ACATTTACTAATCACTACATTGTGTTTACTACAGTAGAAATTTAAAGATGAATTTCCCTCTCCGCCAAGAGTTCATCTATCAGTACTGACACCCCCCTAACCTATGGAGATGAGAAACTTCCTCTTGCCAGCTAATCTCACCCTGCAACACACCTCCACCTCTGAGCCCAAGGGCAGCTTATTTAGCCCTCTCTTTCCACAATTCCTAATTTATAGACCCAATTTTAAAATATTATGCAGTTTACCAATGTTTCTAATCAATATTATTTTACCAGAGACTGGCAGTCATTAAAAATAGGTAAAAGAAATGTCAATCCAATTCTGAGACCCATGAAGGGAAAACAGGTATCCTTGACAAATTATGTTTTTGGAACCCAAATCAAAATAAAACCTTATATCAACTTCAGGTCCTACCAGATGAGTCGCCATTTTATTTGGCCAAAGAGAAGATATCTTAGGTAACAGGTGAGAATATTCAAGTTCTTTCTTCAAAGTGCTAAAATTAAAACTTTAAATCTTACCCAAGAATTTGTTTTCCAAAATACTAGTTATTCAATAAGAACAAGAGACAATGAATGCTGTACACAAAACGCTTTGAAACACAGAAGTCCTCTAATTTTAAAGAAAAAGATGTACTATCACATGGATTACCACCCTGGGGCACATGTTGCCAAGTGTACCCAAAACAGTATTTTTTACATGGCTTTGAAAGAAACCCATTGTTGAGCACATAATTAAATTTTAATATTACTATGAGTACAAATAAGCCTAGTTTAACCTGAAATACAATTAAATAATTAAAAATCAACATGTGTTAATATTTGTGTCATAGAGTGCCAAGCAGATGCCTTTTCGTCAAAAGGTATTAACTTCATTAACTTCAAACTGTTCAAATGGCTTCTGGAGGTTTCTCTTATTTTAGCATTTCTCATGAACTCCGGAGAATGGATCTCAAAGTTTCCATTTTGAAAAAACAACAACAAAGCATTTGTTCAAAAAGCCTTGTAAGGATACCATTACACTTGCTATGAGATGATATTAAATTGACTAATTTTAGAACTCATTCACCAAATATGAAAATTTATTTAAAACAATTCATTATGGATTTAAGTAAGTTAAATTATAAGCTCTCCTATTATTAATAAATGAAATTTAACCTGCCATTTTAACTCTGCATATTATAGGCCATTAAACTCTCAATAAAGTCTATCATGATAACCTAATTAGTGACACATCTGCACATGTAACTTCAGTGCAGTGACTCCTCAAGACGATTGTTATCACCACTTGGAAGAAGAAAGTCCTAAGAACTCAGAAATAAAAGAGTTTTAAAAGAAAAATAGCTAGATTGACTAATGCAGCCTTCTATTGGAAGCAAATTCAACTTTTTGATGTAGAGCTCTGGTGAAAAAAATGCCAATGGATCAGAGTATTGTTAGACATGCTGATTCGGTTTCCTGTCTTTGACAGGTCACTTTTGTATGACACTGGAAACTTTCTTGGCTCTGCTGTTTTGACTCAGAGGAGCTTATGCTAACTTTGATTTTGAAAGAGACTATTTGTTTTAAAGTTTGAAGAGATGAAACTACTGATTTTAATGGTTGGAGCACACACTCAGGGTCCACGCAAATAAATATTTCATATGTAGATTTCATGCATGTTCCTGGACGGGGCAAAAACTATACTATTTATGTTTTCATGGGTTTGAGGTTCACATGAAAACGGCCTTTAAAAAAAAACTAACATTAAGTAGTGTGAATTACATAAGGTTTATAAATTATTTAAGGGAGTGAAACAGTATTTGCATAAGTGATTCTTTTTAAAAGTGATTTGCTATTCCAATCTGACAAAAACCTCAAACAAAATAATTTATTGCCTTCTAAACTCTATTTTGATGGAAACATATTTTATGATTTTCTATTAATATGTAATATTAATTTTTCCTCATAAATATTATTTTCACTATAGTTATGGCATTATAAAATAATTTCAAAGATAGTTAAAGCTAGAAATTATAATCATAGCCAGAAGTTTGATAATAAATTTTCATTTCATAAAGCATTTTTATTTTAATAATGCCAAGATATGATATCGATTTTTACATGTTATTAGAAAGAAGCACAAACGTTTGAAAGTTCATATTCACTAACCTTCAACACAAATTTTACAAAAGTGTACCTACTGCATATAAGAACAGATAAAACTTAAACAATCTAGATGTCCACTAACTGGTAATGGATAGACGGTGGTATTCATACAATGGACTATTATACAGTAATAAAAATTAGTAACTGTGGCTCCATTCATCTGCATGGATGAATTTTAAAGTTTTTGAGCAAGAGAAAGTCATGTAAAAATACATGCAGTGTGAGTGTATTTACATAAAATTCAAAAAGAGGAAAAACTAAACAGTGAAAAGCTATAAAAACAAACCAGGGAATGATGAATAGAAAATTTAGGATATAGTTACCTCTGGGGGAGAGAAGTGCACGTGACCAAAGAGAAGACAGTGTGGCTATCAGAGATGTGAGTAATGTTCTACTTTCAAAGCAAGGTGGTGAGTACATGGGTATTTGTTTTATTCTTCATTCTTAAACTGTGCATACACTTGACAAAGTGGAGAAAATGAGAGGCAAGAAAATGGTGATTGTACATGTAGACAACTCTTTTTGAAGAGCATTCATCTTGAGTATAAAGAAATAAAAGAGTAGATAGGAAGAAATATGAATGTTTACAGAGATTTTGCTTTGCTCTTGTGCTTTCTAAGATATGGAGAGCATCTGAATGACACAGAACATTTCCATCAAAGGGGAGAGGGTGGAGAAACAACAGGGATGACTAATTAGGCAAGGTACACTTGAAGAGGTTCGCCTCTGAACTGAGGGGGAGCACGACTAATCCAGCCAAAGGGCAGTAAGGAAGGATAGAAACAGGCACAGATTCATATAGTCGCTGTAAACGCAAGTCCATCATATATGGTAGCTTGCTCCTCTTGAATGAGGCAAGGTTATCAGCTGAGAGGGAAAGGACAGAGCTGGCTTTGAGAAGTGAAGGCATGAGTAACAGGTTGGGGCAGTGAGAACAAACGGACTACAGATAAATAAATGCCAGCGTTCTCTTGCGCATTTCACCTTAATTCATTTCCCTTCCCTCTGCCTAGAATGTATTTCCCCTTCCTTTTCACCTAGAAAATCTTCCCATCCTTCAAGACTCACCCCAGATTCTACGTCCTGGGTGAAACGTTTTCTGACTATTCCATGGCAACCCTTGCCTCTTTTAATCCTTACAACACTTAGCTGTATCACTAATATTTTACTTACTCATCAACTATCTTGCAGTAACTCCTTTGTGTCGTACATGATTTTTTTGCCTCCCTAACTACGGTTCTCAAGGACATAAATCATGTCTTAAAAAAAAAACAAAACTTTTGCCCTCCTTTTAGAAATAGTGCATTCTTATACACACAGCAAACATTTAGCTTCATTTTCTAAATATGCCATCTACTTAAACCAGATATTCTTAAAAAAATAAGATATGCAAAAAAATAAGTAAACAAAGTAAGAACACATGAGTAAGTGAACTTTGAGTCCTCCATTATTTTGTCACTGCTTCTGATTTTCAATTTTTGGTTTTAGAGCTTTGTAGAAACAAGCCAGAGATCTAATGTTAACATAAAACTGGTTTGAATTTTTATATTTTTTAAACAAATTGTTTCTGCTCATTCAGCTAATTTTTTGTTTTGTTTTGTTTTTACAACTTTTAAGATGCTTCTTCATAGAGGTAGGTCTCTTAGGAAATGAAGCAGAACGTTATCAGCAAAGACAAATTATGTTAGGAATGCCATCTTGTGGCTGAGAGTAGTCCATTACACTATAGATCCTTTTAGTGGCAATCTTTAATTCAGAAATAAAATATCCAGGAAATGCACAAATATAAATCATGGTTAAAATTATAGTTACTACCAAGAAAAGAAAGCTAAATGTGTGTGTATGATTGTGTGTGATTTCAGTTGCCAAAAGAGACAATGTTCACTGTAAAGAGAAATAATAGGCAAATTATATAGGAATGGATTCCAAATAATACGGAAAAACTGCCACCTATAACTATAAGCATACTTCTATTAAGATGATTCAAATACTCTGAATTTTGGGAAAACTTTTCTCATGAAAGAGATAAGTAGTTTTACTTCTATATCCACTACTAAGTAGTTCCGTTGATAATTACATCCTAGATTTTAATCATGTGTCTTGATTTTCAAACTGCATCACCCTAACTATAGCTATCCAAAGGGATGTGAAGGACAAAGCACTTATCTAATTTGGATCATGTAGGATACATACCATTAACTGTAGTCCAAAATGTGGAGTTTGAGGAGAGTTAAAAACACTGGCCCTATCTTAAGAGATGGGCTTACTACTTCTTCCATACAAGTTTGCCATTTGAATGATAAATTCTCTTTCTAGTCAATACAAACCTAGTAATGGTTACAGATGTATTACAAAATGACTGTTTAAATATTTTAATTGCCAGGGTGAATAGCAGACATTTTGGTCCACTTAAAAGTGGGATGGGGCGCCTGGGTGGCGCAGTCGGTTAAGCGTCCGACTTCAGCCAGGTCACGATCTCACGGTCCATGAGTTCGAGCCCCGCGTCAGGCTCTGGGCTGATGGCTCAGAGCCTGGAGCCTGTTTCCAATTCTGTGTCTCTCTCTCTCTGCCCCTCCCCCGTTCATGCTCTGTCTCTCTCTGTCCCAAAAATAAATAAACGTTGAAAAGTGGGATGAGGGAGTGGAAATTGACATATCCCTAACGAGTGCAAGGCACTGCACAACGGCACAAAGGTCCATGCACTATGCTACCCTTTTGTCACTTCTAGATGATAAGGTTCCAAGCAGCATGTGCAGGTACAATGTTCAGTCACCGAGATTAGGTTATTGAAATTCCAAAAGGTAACAGGTCTACGTATAGATGTATTTACAAAAAAAAATGAAAATACTATCGTACTCCAAATCAATGTTTGTGATTTATTATCGCATGCTTATCACCAGAAAAAAATATTTTACTCAAAACATTTTTATATGAATTGATTTTGTATTAGTTTTTCCACATGATTCTTTAGGACGTCCACATCAGCTGCACAGACCTGGTACTCCATCTTCTCTTGCTGCTTCATTCTTTCTAATAAAGCTTCATGAGGTGGAGGTAATGCGTTGTATGAACTCAGTAAATAAAGCTGACTTGATGAAGTATGGTTGATTTCTTTAATCTTTAAAGCCTGCATGATAGCAGGTGCAAACTTTGAGTAATGAGCTGTAGATGAGACAATCACTGGGCAAGTTTTGTCTTGCATTCTGTCCGCAACCACTTTTGCAACCGCAGTGTGTGGATCCAGAATATACCCTGAAGTACTGTAGGTGGAATGAATAGCTGCAAGGCACTCTCTCTCAGAGCACCAGTCGGCTACAAAATCCTGCTGAAGTTTCTCGACTAGCATCTTGTCTATCTGGAAGTGCTGCTGCTCTTCTAGTTGATTAAATAATTTCGTCATTAACCCTCCATCTTTATTAGCCATCATGTGTAAATGTCGTTCCAGGTTTGAAGCTTTAAGAATATCTATTGATGGTGAAAAGGTAGGAGTTATTTTTCTTTCCCTCAGATCATAATGTCCTGTTTTTATAAAATCAGTCAGAACATGGTTCTGATTAGAGGCACAAATAAATTTTCGAATAGGGATTCCCATCATTTTGGCATACACTGCTGCTAAAATGTTACCAAAGTTTCCTGTGGGAATACAGACATCCACTGGGCTTCCAAAAGAAATAAATCCTTGGCTAACAAGATCAAGATATGCAGAAGCATGATAAACTACTTGGGGAAGCAGTCGGCCCCAGTTGATGGAATTAGCTGAACTTAAGATAGTTCCATGTTCCATAATAAGAAAGCCAGTAAAGTCAGAATCTTTAAAAATTCTTTTTATAGCTGTCTGGCAAAAATCAAAATCTGACTTGACACCCACTGCCCACCCATTTTCTTTCTGGCTGCCAATTATTTGTGCTTTTTGAAAATCACTTACTCCATTTTCAGGGAAAAATGTGGCCACGGCTATTCTTTGCTTGTGATTCTTATTAATACGACTAAAACCATTTAAGACTGCGCTGCCCGTGTCTCCTGACGTAGCTACAAGTATCATATAATTGCAGCTTGGTGGAATACAGTGTGCAAACAGATGAGGCAGAAGCTGTAAAGACAAATCTTTAAATGATCCTGTTGGTCCATGGAACAGCTCCAGGATGAACTGGTTGCCTGAAAGGTGCCTGACAGGGGCGATTTTTGAGCAGGCAAAGTTTTCCCCATAAGCAGTTTCAATCATTTCTCCCAATCTGGCAGCAGGTATGTCAGCAGGATGTATACACTTTTCCAATAGTATTTGTGCTCTTTCTATGTAGGTTGCTCCTACTAGGCTTTTCCACTCCCTACAGTTTAATTTTGGAAACTCCTTCTCAGGAACGAAGAGTCCACCATCAGAAGCTAACCCCTCAATCACTGCTTCACTAAAGAATTTTGTTGAGACCTTCTGCTCGCAGTCTTTAGGCCAATTGTGTCTTGTTGAAATGAACGTTTCTGAGTCCACATCTTGGTATCTTTTAACTGCATTAAGCACTTTGTCAGCTACCTCCTCTGGGGAAGCCCCACTTTCACAAAAAACACGGGTATCGTACCATTTCTTATAATACTGTCTTCTAAATTTAAGTAAGTCTTTCATAGATGTGCCAGCATTCTGACCTACAATCCTATCTACTTGCATGAATTTTAAACGACTGACTAGATCTATTAGAGGTACGTCCAGGTATACAATTATCCCATTTTTCTTCAGATGCCACATGCTAGCATCATGCATTGGATTGGACCCAGTAAGGGAAATCACACTTCCAGATGCAGAGAAGTTTAACACAGCTTTTCCTTCCTCTTCTAAAAATTGCTCATTACCAACATCCTGTAATTTTTCAGACACACTCATATTCCAGGTTTTTTCAAGGATATCATCATCCACATCTATGACACAACAACCTAGTTTCTGACCTATTATTCTGCCTACTGTTGTTTTCCCAGCACCAGGAGGTCCCATCAGGATAATATTTTTGTCTCCGACAAGAGAGTGGGTTGAGTGCCATGACTTCCTGAATTCTGCAAGTGCAAAGGTTCTTGAAAGAAACAGCTGCACATGTTTATCCGTTCTAACATGTACACTAGGAAAACATTTCTGGGCTATTTGTTTCAGATGCGGACACCGGTTAAAGTGGAGCATTCTCTTTTCACTTTTCTGCCCAAGTCAACCTAAAAACTGGCTTTAGCCCTTTTCAAAACATAAAAACAAAAAAGACATTTGGTTACTAATTTCAACGGACTTAAAGTCCCAACAGGACTGAAAATAACCATGTCCACTGTACATAAACTGTTTAGAAATCTTTCAAATGTATGGGACATTTAAAAAGTACTTAAACCCAAATTCTCAAATATTACAGATATCCTCTTAATAATCTTTTCGATCTCAAGACTGAATCATCAAAACTTTAGAAATTTGTAACTATAAGCAACACTTTATCCAGAAAATGCCTTATCATAGAGGCTTTAAAACACACACACAAACACACACACACACACACACACACACACACACACACACACAAAATCAGAGTAGTAGTTCTTTTCTTGTAATGAAAATTGTTTCTTGGTTTATAACCCATATAAACAAGGATTATTTGGAATGCTATTTACTTGCAATTCACAAAAGCTGAATATTCTTCATATTTCTCTTTAGTCGTATGAACATGCAGACAGACTTATAAGCTTCTTATAAAACTCACAACAGGAAAGCAGGCTAAAATATTTGCTTACAAAACACTTAAATAACTTCCCAAATGATAGGGCAAAGGTATGACATTTTTTTGTCTTATGTGTCTTTTATAGGCATATTGTAAAAGATCATTCTTACATACTTTTCATATTGAAGACTTTTAAAAAGCTAAAATGAAAGGTATAATATTATGCCAACAGTTAAGAAAAAATTGATAATTAACAGCAAAGTCAAAGGCTATGTATCTATAACCTTATCTGCATGAAACTGTCACTTTTGTTTCTGTCCTCTAAACATGATCAGTGGAGAGACTTAACTCAAATTCCAGACTCTACAGTGATAGCAAAAAAAAAAAAAAAAAAAAAAAAAAAAAAAAAAAAAAGCCTCAGGAATGCTTCCAGTGATGAGAGAAAATAATTATTCTGGCATGCAGAGCAGCTCTGCAATTCCCCACGCTAGTCACATCCCTGTCTTTGGAAATATACTCACCATTAAAACATGAATGTAAGCCATACAAGTCAAATTCTTAGTCGTGTGCAAAATGCAATTTAGGAACTGCTGCATAGTTCATGTAGTGAATGTAAATTCACTACAGGAGTTCTACATACATGTAGTGGGGCTTTTCACACTTTCCACAACTAAGCCATATTAAATATTAGGTGGTATGTTTAAATATGTTCTGAAAACTTTCAATCATTTACTACTCTGATTATCTGTAATACTGTGTTCTGTAATTAAACATTTAAACCACTTTAAACTAACACCGAATTTAACTTACAAGTTAAATTAGAACTGTCAAGAGAAGGATTACATTTCCTTATTTGGCTTTTCAGCTTGTATGTGCTGACTTGTAATTTCCACTGACTTGTAAATATATGACACACAGGAACCAATCTTAGATGAAGAGTTTGTTGATGCTGAGGCAAAGTCAATCTTAGAAAAAAAACGGAGTCTATAATAGAAAAATTTTCAAGTTAATCATCACTGCATATAATATTATAAAATTCCACACATAGACTGGTCTATTATTAAAATATCTACCTAAAATTTTTAAAGTATAGGCAAATAATCAATTGACCCCTTTCCTGTTTCCCCAAATCTATTATTAAAAGATTAAGATACTTTTTTTCAATATCTGTGTCTTACAAAAGAAATTTTATTAAACCGTACTGAAGGAATTTTTTCCACCAAGCAATATGAAAGAGTAATATTACCAAATAATAACAAATGTACAATCTTTCACAATGACACCTAAAATTTTCATTTCTTAACTGGATGTTTAGTGATGACAGAAAAATTTAAATCTGTGGCCTAAAGCTATAAAATGAGTGTTTGAATTTCTCTTGTCGGTTGTTTTATCCATCTGAATCACTACATGATTTGTACGTAATGATAACCTACAGTAAAAAGTGCAAATACAGTGTCGGCCACATACAGGTACCTCCTGGCTACTTAACTGAGCTTATAATAAATTCAAAGCACATATCACAGTGGCTGGCACGTAAGAATATTCTCATATATGGTAATATTAATTACTGCCATGCAGAAACAGTGGACCAAAATCATTTCATTTGAATCAGAATACCTAGACTCAAGGCTAAGTATATTTTTTTACAGTCTGGTTAGTTTATAAACCTTCAGAGAAAATAATGGTACTTATCCATGAATCAAGAACTGTTTTGCTATGCAGTCTAATTCTCTTCCTGTAGTAAACCAAGGAACAGAGAACGGTACACTTGAGTCATTTCAGCAATCTCTTTTATTGAACTGTATTCTAGTAAAGTACTTTAACACTAGTTATTTTTCCTGGAGGAGAGAACACTAGGTATTTTGAAGGCACTTTATAAAATAACCTGATTAACCTCCTATTCAGGAGGCTTTGGCTTATAACATCACAGTGTGTGTTCTTTTTTTTACTTCCCAATGTGTAATTTTCTGATGTCCGTATTAGCAATCATTCTAATATTACCTGAGTAGCTGGTTTGTTTTTATGAACATCAAATCTTTTAACTGATCTTCTCCACTTTGTGTTGGTTACTACAATGCTCACCATCAACTATTGAAAGTAGAAGACTGTAACACAAACATTATGCATCATTCACCTTATCTTTTGTAACCTGAGTTTTCCTTTACTTTATATGAATTAAAAATAGAAAATTATGACAGTTCAATTTAATTCTGTATCAGTATTATTTACCAATAAAAAGCTTCCTGAGAAATAGCAGAAGGGAGTTGTTAAGGGCTATAATATGTAAACAAATAGTATTACTGTTAAAGAAAAATAAAGAAGATGAATTCTATTTTAAGTAACATACTGAATTTTGTTTTAAAACATTTTAGCCTCAAATTAATTTTAGGGCTTCAACATCCATTGTAAGCAAACCAAAAGACAAGATGAATAATACCCACACTATGTAACTTCCATCTGGAAATTAGGTTTACTTAAGAGTAATATAGTCAATTCTTGTTATTCATGGTAGTTATATTCTATAAAGTCACCGCGAGTACTAAATTAGTGAATATTGAATATTCTCATTGCTCCTAGGGGAAATACAGGGTTAGGTTCCTGTGAGCCTCTAGTCACCTTTTTGCCAACTGATCAATATATAACCTTGTTTTATGTCTCTGTTTAGACATTTTATATATTTTTTGACATTTTATATATTTTTTATATTTTAATATGAAATTTGTACATATATATGCTTGATTCAATACCATTGAACAGCCAATAGTACTCTAACTTATGCCTGAATGAAGCCTATCTAACGCACATTTTATCTGTAGGTGCATCATAGCCTTATTGCCTTAGGAACACTAAGCACACTTCAGCCCTCTGGCGGCCATTGTAAACATCAAAATCACTAACTAGAGGCACAGAAATGTGAAAAATGTGGCACTAAATAGAATGGGAGAAGGACACTTGTTGGCCGTATTTGAGCTGAAACCAGAAGGCAGACAGCATCACCTTGCTTGACCTCAGCTTGGAGCACGCGCATCAGGAGACTTCCTATCTTTCGCCACAGTGCGTGTGTCCATGAACAAATGCACAGGTTCTGCAGGGAATTACCTTGGGGTTATAAATAAATTCTAGCGAGCAGAATTCACAAACGTCGAACCTGTGAAAAGTGAGGATCAACTGCATATCATCCTCCTTTATGACTCAAAGCCATGTTGTGACACTGAAAAGGCAATTTTCCTTTAGCCACAAAACAATTTCCAATTAAATGGAAGTCAACTACAAGAGTCAGAAAACAAAAGCGGTATTTAGACCAAATCACTTGGCTATAAAGTACTCAGGTTTTACTATCCCAATATCCTGAAGTATTTTTTGCAGAGCCACGTTCCTCATGAAAATATTTTAGTCCTACTAACTCCTCAGAGGATGGAAGACCAGCACATTATACAGTAATACTTTTTAAGTAGGTTTTCCTACTAATCACTTAGAGTGGGGCTTTTTGATCCACTAATTCCATTGGCTACTTTCTAGACATAATAGACACCTGCCATTCAAACAGACAAATGAAAAGGCAGTAATGTGTCAGTGTCACAGCAAGAACTTTAAAATACAAAAACACAATGTCCACATGGACATAATGATTCACGTACTCTTTGATCTCAAGACACAAAATTTAACAATTTTACTGTGGCAAGCTGATCAAAACTGAATAAAGAATTCAAGGGAAAAAAAGTAAAGAAATCACTTTTTAAATCACTTTCAAATTATTTCCCATAAATGCTAATAAGCTTACATTTTTTAAACCAAAAACCATATTAATTTTCAGCAACCTATGTACAGTGAAGTTTTCCTAAGGTCACACTAGATGACTGCTCATCAATTAAAATCATACCCATTATCAATTTTTACTTCCAGAATGGTTGAGAAGAATTTTTCAATTCCATTATAAAATTACCTAGTTTCCAATTCCTCTGGGAAATCATCAAAATCCTATTTAGTCAGGATGATTTAGCATTTCTCACTCATTTAAAACATAGTATTCCAAAATAAAACATAAGACACAGCACTTTAAAAATCATTTTATGATGAGAACTGGCTATAGTTCAATAAACTTCTGAAAATATTCATGTCTTGAGTATGCTTGTCACCCTATATTAATGCAATCTAAATTTCTCAGAAGAATGACTAATCCAGTCCATTGTCTTAAGAAGAAAGACATCCTGATTTTTTAAAATTCTTAAAAATGACTGCATTTTTACAGCAATAAATCGTTTCCCAATACATAATTTAAAAAATGCAAATATACTGAGACATAAACTAATCACGGGGGTAAAATTCCGCTCTGGAACACTGAGCAAAAATCTTCTCATAACAAGCCTTTGTGTCAGTCAGCTCCTAACTTACCTAGAAATAGCAAGGTGGAAAGGGTGGAAGGAACATACACTCCGGTGCCATGTTGTAATCACAGGGCTCTTATAATCAAAAGTAGAATTTACAAGTTCAACCCTCATCCTTGCCCCTATTTAGTATCAAAGCTGATTAAGCCTTTCCTGTGGCTACTCTTTTGCTGTTGGATATCCTCTTTTTTTTTTTTTTAATTTTTTTTTTCAACGTTTATTTATTTTTGGGACAGAGAGACAGAGTATGAACGGGGGAGGGGCAGAGAGAGAGGGAGACACAGAATCGGAAACAGGCTCCAGGCTCTGAGCCATCAGCCCAGAGCCCGACGCGGGGCTCGAACCCACGGACCGCGAGATCGTGACCTGGCTGAAGTCGGACGCTTAACCGACTGCGCCACCCAGGCGCCCTGTTGGATATCCTCTTAATGGTCGTATTTAATTCAAGAATTCCTAAGTATCCTTTTAAACTCTGTAACTTAGAAATATTACAAAGAGTATCTCTTACACAGGGTTTATTTTCCTCCTCCTTGTCTTATTTATATTCCCACCTATGCCCATTTTATTCATCTAAGTAAATTAGATTAATCTTTAGCAAAAAAACTCAAATTTGTATGTACAAGCATTTATAGCAGGGGTCTGTGCAAACCACAACCCACAGGCCAAATCTGTGCAAAACCTGGATAATCATCCTTTTTGTAAATTAAGTTTTATGGGAACACAACTTTGCTTATTTATTTGTTCACCTGTTTATTATTGTCTTTGGCTGTTTTTGAGCTACAACAGTGGAGTTGAGCAGTTTTGACCAAAACCATTCAGCATGCAAAGGCCTAAAATATTACATAGCCCTTTATGGAAAAGATTCATGACCTCTGACAATATATCAATACTAATTCCTGGCGGGCATATTGGACACAGCTATTTTCTTTAACAGTATTGCTTTTTTATGGTTTTTTTTTTTTGAGGGAATTATAAAAAAATAGAAATATATTCTTTGTAAATATGTTTTCAAAAGGCAAGCAGAATTATAGACCAAGGATCTAAGGGAAAAAAGTTCCTTTCTAAATGATTTAACAATTTCATCAAGACTGTAAACTAAATATACTATAGTGAGATCATAAATTGTTTGGTATTTTTAAAACCACAATAAATACATTGTCATCAGTGAAATTACTGTATTTGGTAACACCAAAGAGTCAGGACTGTAGCTAAGGTCGGTTGGTACTAACTGGAGGTAACAGGCTTTACACTTACTGGCTCTTTTAGGAACTGAATAACAAAAAACATCCCAAAGTGTTTCTTCATTAGAATATTTATAAGCTTTAGGCCAATGACCATCCATTGGCTAATGGTGTTATCATTAGGAGTCTCTTTATACATGCTAAGCAAAAAGACCCCCCCCCCAAAAAAAACATAAAAGGGAAAGGAAAAGGACAAAGTGGTATATAGACACAGAAAAAAAAGTTTTAAAAAGTAGAAAATCTGATGTGAACAGGAGCATCATTTCCAACGTGTCACCCATCTGAAAATAAAATGTTAAACGCACGGGATAAAGATAAAAATCTGATTAACTGGATACGAAAAAACTAAATGTATTCTTAGCTAATGAAATTCACTAAAAGTCCCAAATGATCAGCACCTACATATTCTGCATAGCCTTTTAAGTAGGAATTAAAAGGTTAATGAAGCAATCGTGCTGTTTTTCTCTCTCCACCGAGCACCCTGGCAGTGAGCCGACCCATACTGGTGTTGTCTTTTATCTCTGACCGTCTTTATTCCCTGTGGGCAGTGGCCTCTGTAAGTTTGGTTCAAACCAAATAACTTATTTCCCAAACCTTGCCAAAATGCCTTTTAGAGACTCGGGGTGGCAAAGGCTTCTATATGAATTTCTTTCAGCAATCTTACGTGAATAGGCTTATGGAAGACCAGGCGGCTCAAAACGGAATAAAACCTTTTCTGAGAAGACAATATCAAAAAAGGGACAGCAACCAATCAAACAAACAAAATAAGCAAAAATTCAAGGGCCCCTTTAAAAAAGCTTCTCCTTCTGGTTTAGGCTGCTCTTTTTAAAAACAGCCAGTCCACACGTCGGTGGAGTAATACCTAAGAGGAGGGACCCGACTAAGAGGTAAACGGGCGGAGCAGAGAAGCAGCGAGGCGCAGGAGAAAGAGGGAGGACGCAGAGGACCGCAGCGCGACAGGTGGATGGGCGTAAGGCGGGACGTGGGCGCGCACTCCCGCAGGTGGCGAGCAGGGCAGCCGAGCGAGCTCCGGGCAGCCCAGGCAGAAGCAGCGGGGAAAATGCGCGCAGACACAGTTGAGATCACAACGGAGTAGCGGAAAGGGGAAGAAACGAAAAGGGGAAAGGCATGCGATGGGAACGGACCGGCTTCTACAGTTTCCCTTTCTTTCTCCTCAAATCACTCACCAAGAAAATCACACTGAGAAGACTGGGGGGAAAGGAAAGAAAATGGGAAGGAGCGTCCAGGAGCCGCCACTGCCGCCTCGGGACGGACTCCCACACCTCGGGGCCTCTCCCCGGCTCGCCCACGGCCCAGGCCCGAGGCCCTCGCTAGGCCTGATCCGCCTCCAGCCCCGCGCTGCGGTCTCTGCGCCTGCGTCAGGCAGGGAGGGCCTGCGCGCCGGCGCGCCACACCCACGCCCCGAGCAACCTCTCACGCCGAACACGTGACAAGCAGTCCGCGCTCCACCTATGCGAGTCCTCCCTGCTCCTCAGGCTCCTCCCCACCCCGTCCAGCTCTCGGCAAAGGCCCTACGTCAGCCTGGCCTCAGCGGCTCGCCCCACCGCCGCCGAGATTGGCGCCTGCGCACGAGAGCCTTATTGTGTGACGCCTGCGCAGGAGCTACGCTTCCCTACGGTCTGCATTGGAGTGTGTCTTCCTCTCCAAATATGCAGACAGAAACGAGCAGTGTGTTTAAGTAAGGGGACGCCATTCAACTCATTATTCCCAAAGGCACATATAAACAGTGGTTTCCATATTGAACTTCTCAAGCAGAAGAACTGCAGAGGGAAGAAAAATCTAGTTTACAGGGCTGCCTTCTACTTCCACGTAGCCTAGCAACTGTTTCCCAGGCAACCACGCCGTCAACAACGCGAAGCAACCCCTAGAGAATTAGAAGGGCTATTTTAGTTTCTTCCCAAGAGAGGACTGCTAACAGGTCAAAGGGGAATTAGGTGAAAGAGAGAAACCTTAGTTCCGTGAGAAGTCAAGAGTAGGAAAGGAAACGGGAATCAGTGAAGAAAGGGACAGACATACTGGTATAGAGAGAAAAAAGTTGACCATTTTTAAGGAGTCATTTTGGTGGCCATGGATACAACTTGCTTTTCTGAGAGCATTTATAACCTCATACCCAGTGACCGGAAGGAGCCTCCCCAGCCTCCTAGGTATGTGGGTAAACAAAAGATTATCACTTGAAACAAGAATAAGGAATAACGATGCCATTTCAAGATTAACTAAGCAACATACGACTTTTTAAAAAGAAATTACATATATTTTTGTCTTAATGAAGTAGACTTGGATGCCAGCTTTTTAAGGAAGTGGCTGCAAAACCTGGGTATTTAACATCTATCTCACAATTCACGGAGTGGACGGTCCAGTGCTGTGAGAGGGCCATTTTATTATGTTAGCCACCTGTTAATATAGTATGTAATTTGTAATTTAATTGTTCGTACATGATGTGGCATACAAAATAGCGTGAAATTTCTTGTTACTGAAAAAAGAAAATCACAGTTTTATTGTCCTGTGTTAGGATACTTCCTACTTGGTTTCAGGGGTTCGTTGTTTTATTTCTTTTTTTTTTTTTTTCCAACGTTTATTTATTTTTGGGACAGAGAGAGACAGAGCATGAACGGGGGAGGGGCAGAGAGAGAGGGAGACACAGAATCGGAAACAGGCTCCAGGCTCTGAGCCATCAGCCCAGAGCCCGACGCGGGGCTCGAACTCACGGACCGCGAGATCGTGACCTGGCTGAAGTCGGACGCTTAACCGACTGCGCCACCCAGGCGCCCCTCGTTGTTTTATTTCTGACTACACTACTGCTCCCTCTCTAAAGGGATAGTAATTATTTCTGAGATTGTTGTCAAATATACATTCCTGTTTGTTTCTGAGGCTCAGTTTTTTGACTGGTAAGACAAAATAGATTCGTTTCTAAAGTCTTTTTCAGATCTGATAGTTGGATAGAAAGAAGAATAGATGGGTAGAGACCCAAAAATATATAATTGAGTTAAAAATTTTACATGGGTGTTAGGACCCCTTAAGTTCCCCCACATTTCAAAAAGGTAACCCTGAAGTAAATATCTCAGTTAGTCTCCTGTGTATAAACTTAGAACTTATGTAAACCTATGGAGAGAAAAGAAGGTAACTAGTGCAGAAGATCTTATTCCTCCTAGAATTCGAAATATTTGCTGTTCTTTACCTTTCTTCTTTTCCTGATGCACGTCAAAACCACATTGAAAGTGCGATGGGCTTAAAAAAAAAAGACTCTGCAACTAACTGGTTTGAGAATCATGAATAAATTTTCACTTATTTTCTTATCTATAAGACAAACTAAATGATCCGGATCATCTTTAAGGTTCCTTTCAGATCTAATGGTCAATTATTTATGCTAGTAATTCCTTGGGGTATATAACATCAACAAGTGGGCAAACCCTTTTCATTGTAAGCCCAAGAATCTGGTTTCAATAAGAGCAGTACCTATATTATTTTCCATTAGTTTCTCAGAATCTAGCAGAGAATGGAAAGAGGAATGTAAAGTAAGATGTGATGGACTTGTAGAACTTATGACGAATGTTCAAATTAACTATTGCTGAATGAACTTTTGGTCAAAAAATCCGGTATGTTGTACAAGATAAAGTTCCTCTTCTCTGAAACCCACTGGTAGGCTGTATTTTCTAGAGAGTACTGAACTTGAAAGTTAAGATATTTTATTAGATAGGTGTTCTGTTCATTGATAAATTAAAAAGAGGCATCTTTACTGCATATAAGTAATTTTTTTCAAGAAATTTTATAGGAACAGTCTAGTCTGTTCATTTGACAAGCAATAACTGAGCCCCTATTTATGTGTATAACATTGCCTTTGGAGAATGTTCTTGGGAAATGTTGGAAGTGATAGCACAAACTCCTTGGTTGACTCTGAAGGAATAAGTAAGAAAAAGGAACTCAGGGTGAAGGGAATAGAAGGCATCAATTGTGGTGCCAGAGAACTGTCTGTTAGGGTGAGACTGTCCACAACATCCTACACTGTCTGCAACAACCTGGGGAGGTTTTACTTTGATAAAGGTGCCATACAGGCAAACCACTAATATGTAAAAACAGAGCATAATAACACATTTAACAAATTCCTCCTCACCACACTGACACTAACTTGCCCTGACCCAATCCCCCTGTTAGTGGTGTTACGGAACCAGACTGGAACACTGGCGGAAAAACCAAGCGGCATTCAGAGATCTTGGTGGATCGGAGATTTATTTAACACCGGTGGGCTCAGGGGAGACCATTTCTCCAAAGATCTGAGCCCTGAATGCAAGCAGGAAGCGTAATTTATAGTTGTCTGCCTCTGTATTTGGGGGGGGGGGAGGGGGGTTGAGCGCATGGCAAACAGGGCAAGAAGAACCTGGAAGAGGGGTTTCTAAGCCAGAGACCAGAGCTTGTTTTAGTCCTCGCGGCCATCTTATGGTGTAAAACTTTATTCATTTTCCCAACAGTGGTAAGAATTAATCATAAGAAGGAAACATAGGGGCACCTGGGTGGCTCAGTTAGTGAAGCCTCTGACTCCTGATTTTGGCTCAGGTCATCATCTCACGGTTTTGTGGGTTCCAGCCCTGCGCTGGGCTCTGCACACTGACCATGAGGAGCCTGCTTGGGATTCTCCCTCTCTCCCTTTCTCTCTGCCCCTCCCCGTCTTGTGCTCTTTTTGTCTCTCTCTTGAAGGAAGGAAGGAAAGGCAGGGAGGCAGGAAGGAAGGAAGGAAAGGAAGGAAGGAAGGAAGGAAGGAAGGAAGGAAGGAAGGAAGGAAG